ACTAAGTTATAGCTATAGGAGTTAATGTTCATTCATTTTTGTCGGAAAAACAACCTCAAAGGCCAGTGTACATTTAATAGCTCTAATCGACTCATTGATTTAGTACATTGGTGTTAATTCCCTTGACAAAAATAGAATTCCAAAAAAAGCGCGTTTTTGTCCGATTGGGAAGATTATATGGACACTAGTTCACTACTAACTTCGCGGCCTTATGCGTAACTAAGCGGGAAGAGGCGAGGTGGAGCGAGTTCACTACTAACCAAGACGAGCGTGGTTCAAAGAAGCAAGCATTCGTAGCATGAATGATGCCGGGACGGTGATTGTGTCTCTACTTTCTTCAAGCATTTGTTCATTTGTCCGCACGATCTGTAACATAAAAATGACAAAACAGAAAGTTTTAGATTCGCGTTTGCGGCGAACGCCAATCGTCAAAACTGATCCAAGATTACTGTTTTTCTGTATTAACGCTCCGTTCTTTCGCGATTGTGTATAAAATAGATCATTTTTTCGTGCATAAGAGCATCACTATTCCTTTTTGAGACAAAGCTTTGAGGTTTGGCGTTTGCAGCAAACGTGAATCTAAAACTCTCTAATAGCTATAAAAATTATATTACCTCTTAACATACACTGAAATATTATTTTAACTTTCGTCAAAATTAAAGGTTTCTTTACATCCGAAAGCCTTTGCGACCATTTGTTTTGTTCTACAAACGATATTCTTGTTGAAAGTAAAAAAAACAAAACCGTTCTTGAAGCTGAAATGTCTCGATTTAGTGCGTACAGAACGATATAAGTAAAAACCAAAACAACAATGACAGTTGTTGAAAGTTGCTTTCTGATTGGTTTAAAGTCAAAGATGGCAAATTTTTGAATGGGATAAAAAATAAATAAATATATAAATCGACTTTATTTTACGAGGGTAACACGTGACAGTAAAGAACTGATGAACTTGTGGCCCTCACACTCACACTCACTACCTCTACATTAATTATTTTAGCACACAACACTCCTCACATGTTGATTTTTGCTGAGGGAGGAAAACCGGAGGACCCAGAGAAAATCGCACAAAGGATCTCGGACGCACGTGAACCCGCGAAAACCCACCTCATCTAGACCTTCCACTTGAGCTGGCTGACTAGCTGTAGGCATCCATAGTTTAATGTCGTAATCGATTCCACTTGAAGCAAGGACTGTAAAAGATAGAATCATTGAAATTGAAAAATAAAATAATAAAGTAGTTTTCATAAACCCGTGAAACAAAGTGTAATAATTAGAGTGTAATAGATCGTAATAGTTGCGTAGAGAATAAAAAACAAAAGGTGTGTTTCACGGGTTAATGAAAGCCACTCTAATACGACGAAGCAGTAGAGCAAACGCAGGAAAACCATGAAATAGAATCAAACTATATACTAACAAATAGCGGCTATTTAGAGACAAATTGTCAGTATCAATGAACCAGAACACAATAAAGATGAATCCACATGGGACCATTTTTCATTCATCTTCATTGTGTTCTGGTTCATTGATACTGACAATTTGTCACTAAATAGTCTCTATTAGTTAGTATTTAGTTTGATTGTATTTCATGGTTTTCCTGCGTTTGCTCTAGCAAGATGCAAAAGACTTCCTTTCATAAGACAAAGCTTTAGGGCCACCTCACACTGCAACATAAGCAAAAGCTCCATAAACAAAAAGAAGACAAAAAGTAAGGTGATTTTCTCTGTTTATTCCTTTGTCTTTGATTAGYTTATGCTCTGCCTTATGTTACTTTCTATGCTTAGATCGATGCACGCATGACTTCATTCGTTTGTCTTTGATTAGTTTATGCTCTGCCTTATGTTACTTGCTATGCTTATATCGATGCACGCATGACTTCATTCCTTTTTCTTTTCTTTTCTTGGACATGCTTATGTCGTAGTGTGAACAGGCTCTTATGGTAAACTTCTTGTCTGAAGAAGTCTTCAAAGGATTTTTCATATACAGAAAATAAGGCGGCTTCAAATATACAATCGCAACCGATCCCATCTGTGGGCTTGAAGGAAGATCGAGTCTTACAATATTTCCAATCATTGAGCACAAAGAGTGGGGTTTTCTTTTATTAAGATGTAGTTTTATTTTCAAAAAATGATAGCTTTTTTAAAGAGACATGGTCCACCAGCATTCATTGCGGTCGTGTTTTAGATTTTTCATATATGGAAAATGAGGGGACTCCGAATATCCGTCCGCAATCGGTTTCCATCCGTCGGTTAAGAGGTCGAATCTTAGGGCGCTTTCCATTTGTCAGAACTGGCTGGCCAGACCCAGAGAAAATGTCATTGTATATCATTCCTATTTAGTTAGGAAATTCAAATTGTCAAATTCTATTCATAATTCTATAGAAAACCTCGAAATGACTGAAAACTGTTGACAAAAAGCATTATATACCTCTAAATAGAGCGAACTGGCCGACCAGTTCTGCCTAAATGGAAAGCATCCTTACAGTATCTCCATTCATATAGTTTTTGTTTATATTACGATAGATTTTTATTCTCAAACATGAGCAAAAGCTGGAAAGGGATGCTTGTGGACCATTTCCCTTAAAATCGTGTAATTATCATACGTACCAGGATAAAAAGGGTGTGGCTGAACGCAATTGACCACGTGGCGGTCCCCTTGTAAAACCATACTAATTTCTGTAGTGTGTTTATCCCATATGAATATACGACCACAGTCACTACCACTTATGACGTAATTATCTCCCCAGAATCGAGCTTCCTTTATCTTAAATACAATTCAATTTAGAGAGGTTTAGCATGACTTTCACGGCAAACGCCAAACGGCAGAAAGATCACGTGATCAGCTTTTTTGGAGTTTAACGTTGCAGTTTCAACGCGAGAGCGGGTTAGTTTGAGGTTGCGCGCCATAATAGTGAAAAGCCGCTCTTTCAAATGACTACCAAAAGCTCAAGGTCGGGCACGAAATTCTTAGGTTATTGGTTCAGCTCTGCCGTTAGCCGTTTGCCTCTTAAATACAATATTCATTATCTTTAATACAATAATCTTCTGAACCTTTTACGTCACTACTTGATTTTCAATGCATTGTGGGATCAGTTTCTAGAGAAAACAAAAGAAAACCGCCATGTTTTGTCCCAAACATATCCTACAATGCATTGCGTATACGGTACATGACGTAAAAACTTCAGAGGTCTATCAAAGATTAGTAATAGCAAACTTTGGCTCAGTTTTAAGCCGTCTGGATTTCGTACGCGCCCGTGTTACTCTCTCCACTGGATAATAAACTTGGGTGAGATGCAATCTACAACTTTGTTTTTCTACGTGTACAAATATAAACACGTGCAGCGTTAGGTACACTCCATTCTCGCCTTGTGGATGTTACGGAAACCCCAATATTAGGGACAACGGACATTACGGACAACCCGGTAATACGCTCGACCCCATATTATGGACCCTGAAATGATCGCCGCTGCCGGAAATTACTGAAAATAACTCCCTACACAGCGGACATTCGCTATTAAAGGTATGTAAAGGTAGCAATTTAGTGAAACTAAATTGCAGTTTCGAATGTAACCATTATAACGAGAGTTTACTGCACTGAATATAACCCCCTTTACAGCGGACACTCGCTATTGCAGACACTTGATTACTGTCCCGAAGGTGTCCGTTATCACGAGATGTGATTGTACTGAAGATAACTCCCTTTACATCGGACTCTCGCTATTGCGGACACCTAGTTACTGTCCCGAATGAGGTCGTTATAAAGAGAGTTGACTACAGTGAAAATAACCCCCTTCACAGCGGACACAACTCACCATTGTACGAGCATTCCTGTGTCCACGGTAAATTCGCGTCATTTTAGGAACCCAGATGACATCATCTTCTCCCGCAAGTCCAAAATCCCAATCATCTATTGTCTTYACRGATTTTAACGCCTTGTAGTTTCTGAACATGCGTTGGATACGCGTGGCTGCTAAGCTATGCGAATTGTCGGACTCRGTCTCCTGTCTATTTGACGACGTGCCAACATTTGATAAGTCCYCGCCACGTGCACTTGCYACGCCCTGTTGAGAGTTTTCAGAAGTAAGTTCATTATTTTTKTCAGGACAATTCGAAGGTTCCCATATGGGATYTTCGCGTGGACAGGCCGCACCCTCTTCAGGTGTTATTTCGTCATCAACRATAGTTTCCATGTGTGRTTCATCACGTGCCTCTGCCACGCCCTGTTGAGGATTWTCGACATTATTTTGTTCATTATAATTWTGTTCAATTGCTTCATCTTGAGTAATATTGACATTGTCCATATTCGATTGAGAAGAATTTGCTTGGAGGTCATTACGCTGATCTGTACTTCTAGAGTCCAGTTGTTTGTTCAATATACTGYCATTTTTATTTCCAACACTARCAGCATTATTTCCATCYGCTGCTCCTATTGTTTCACYATCACTACTAAGCCCGCTACAACTAGGCATTGATGTGTCCATAGGAGTWATTYCAGTGTCTTCAAAAGGGGATTCCTTGGAAGATTCTGAAGGGGATTCCTTGGAAGAGACATTGGATTCCTCTTTMTCCCCTTCTGGAGTATCCAGACATCGCTCTACAACAGTGATAACGGATGCCGATGTGCTTGGTGATTGGTCCATTTCTTCATCAATGACGTCACCATCACGTGACGCACCCGAAGGTTCTAGATTCGCCGAGCTGTCAGAAGACGATGAATTTGTTGAGCGCGACGGAAATGACGTCGACGATGACGTCGATGATGATGTCGACGAGGCGCGAGATTGAGCTGACCTGAGCCGGCTGCGACTTTGGCTACCACGAAATGATTCTTCGATCCAGCGGACGAACAGATCTGACATGCGCTGCATGAGTGTGCTTTCGTTTGATGCGCCCGCCTCGCTTTCAGGTCGCGCGTTTGGTCCAGTGTCGGACCAGTCTCCACGCAGTCTTAGTCTTTTCATCGGYGCGTTCTTTTTATTGGGGTTGGGAATGAGTCCGTTTCCTTGAGCTTCATCRCTTGTACCGCGAACTTCCTTTTGCCCCTTTACTTCGAARAGATAGACGTAGTCTGCACARTAGCTSACAAGAAGCTCGCTTCCATCCGAACTGAAAATAAGAATTATAATGGTAAATATCCATCACTAAAAACATTACTTCACGGACCCTTGAAAATTACTGAAAGATCCTRAAAGACTAATGTGTATCCAAGAGCCTTTGCGCGACTGGATTTTTCTCATTAATAAGAATCCGCCATCTTTGTAAAACACAACGAACTATTGCAAAGGTTATTGGATGCAAGTGTGCCTTTTATATCACGATGCCTCGATTTTTTTAATATCGCTCAAGATATCTTAAGGCCGATTTAGACGGCACAACTTTTGCCTACAACCAATGCATGTAACCTGCGTAAGTCATCCTTATAACATGGCTACAACTGTCGTTGGTCTATTAAGCAATTGTTCAAAATTCCTACGACAGTTGTAGCCATGTTGTAAGGACGACTTACGCAGGTTGCATCCGATGGTGGTAGGCAAAATTTGTGCCGTCTAAATCGGCCTTTAGATTACTTAGAGGAACCTACCTATACTGGAGTGACGTCACACGACACGTTCTGTCTTTTAAGGCTTCTGGTTTGAATTTATAAGTCAATCCAGCCATTCCACTAGATCCAGAGCTTGATCCAGCTGTACTTAGAGAGCGTCTATCAAACAAAGCAACTGTACTGTCTTCACAGCCGATCCCCAGCTGATAAGGTGCTAGTGGGTTGATGCTRACTGACGTGACCGCTTTTCCACATTCTATTAGTATATCCTTGAAATAAACCCAGGCAATCATTATTATAATTAATAATTCATTTATTAGCTTCCACCAGTGGTGTGGGTTACAAAACAGGGCGTGGCCCCAAGTAAAGTGTGCCCTTACAACACGTAACATTGAAATATAAATATAAGATTGGTATAATAATAACGTTTTTTAAACAGCTTTAAGTCTCACGGACATACCAGAACCTCCGCGATCGTTTCATCCTTGTTTTACAAATGACCGCTTGATGAAAGGCGCTTTCTTATTGGATCAAAATAAAAGATGGCGGCGAATTTACAGATGTGAAAAAATCGCGCAAAGGCTCCTTTAAAGCTTTATTATCGACCTGAGCTTTCGACCAACTTGGTCATTATCAAGGCAGTTCATAAAAGTTACAATTGGCCAATGACTTCAATAAATAAGTAAAAAAAAAAAACAACAATAAACAATAAAATAAAACGGAAAGCGCGCGTAAAAAGTAAATCATAATTTGTAGAAGTTTTTTTTGTTTTCTTTGTTTCTTTCTTTTCTCAATGTCTTAGAACAATTGTCGACATTTATATTCTGCATTGCTATCTATCAGTTTGGTTGAATATAGAGGATATTAGACTACTGACAACAGCTAGGATGTGTTAGAGTACAAACACTAAAACTGTGCAACATAAATACCACTAAATACTGTTAAATTATGCTAATTCTATTGTTTCCTACTTAATTAACACTATTTTGTAGTAAATACTGGAAAGTGTTGCTGTGACGGTTCGAAAGCAATTAACAACAAAAATTGCAACAATAAGTTTTACTTGACTCAGTATTATAATTTCAAGGGCTTCTACTCTATCAAAACAACTAAATACTAAAAGTTCAGTGTTCAATGTTAAATGTTCGCTATGTCACCTGGTAGAATCTTTACATAAGTACGTCTTTGCTGCGCAAATATCTGAAGTCCAAAGTTTAACCCGCTAACACGTGTTGTTAACTGACGAGGTACTTGTTACAACTTCTAACGATCTAAACGACGCTTCTCCTTTTGAATGATTCCGAGACACAATGCGTTATGTAATCCTTTTGTAAGTTAATCCCTAATCGTCACAGTTGCACGCTTTTAGTGTTTGTTCTCTAGCATGTGATCATGATTAATCTACTTAATTAAATTAGCATTACACCTTGTAGCCTTCCACTAATTGTAATAATTGGTTCCCAAAGTAATGAGTATACTAACCTCTTTGCAATCCCTTTTGCTGCATTTGGACTTCATTCTGACATCAAACACACGCACAGTACCATCTTCACCACATGACAGAAAAGTATTGGGATCACCGGGGGTAGTTATCACCTGCATATCATAAATAACATATTATAAAATTTTACATATGTTTTTAAAAATTTTATAAATAATTTTTTTGATATATATATAAATAATTTTTTGATATATAACGCGCGCTCTCATTGGCTGACAACCATGTTTGTATCAGAGGACAGAGACATAGCTTACCAGCAACAATTTGTTTTTCACTCGAAAAACGCTGAAAAGTTTTGTAAGCCGCTTGTGTCTCTGTCCTCTGATATAAACACGGTGATAGTTAAAGCACTCGAGAAGCAAAAGAAACACTAAGGTAAGCTTACTTCTCTCATGTTTTTCAACTTCCACCGTGTTTATATCAGAGGACAGAGACTCGCGCCATTTTATATTTCTTCATATAGAAGTACATCTAGAACCCCTTTTATAATTCAACAACTGCACTCTCATTGGTTGAGAGTTGACCACATGACATAATAGTGCCTGCCATGAAGGGCTACTATCAGAGCATAGAGCCAACTTCTTCATAAAATTCTGTTGTTGAATAATTCCCTTGACTCAACTACTCTACTGTTCAATAAGAACTTGCTTTATCATTATCACACAAAACATGCTGAGATTTAAATTGTTTAACCTCATAAGCTGTGCCTGAATGACAGTTATACGAATACATGCCATAGGAWTCTGGTCTTTCTATGTCAGTAAAGTGTAAAACTCCATCACCAGAACATGATACAATCTGAAAATAAATACAAATTGTTGATCAGTTTTATATGAAATGTTTTCTTATCGTAACAACAAGAATGTTATATAGCGGATTTCATATGACAAAGCAAAATCATACACAGCCTTTCATGTCGTGATACTACCATGGCATAGGGATTTAATATGTGATCTTGAATCACATACTTTCATTTGGCATTGATACCAGACGAGGTTCCATGACCGTGCCATGATCCATGCCTTTGCATAGTCATACGAAATCGACTTTATGTATTTGGATTAAACTGAATTGATTAGCTTACCCTTTTGTCATCACAACATGGGAGAAATTTCGCACTGAATATGTTGGCTCTGTGGCCTGTTCTTATTGATTGGAGAAGCTGAAACAACCAACGTATATGAGTAAATATTGGACAATGAATAGAAATGGAATGTGAAGTATGAAATGGAATAGAAAGAAATAGAATATGATGGAATAGAATAGATAATGAATAGAAATGGGATGGGATAGGATGAAATGGAACAGAAAGAAATAGAATATGATGTTATA